TGAACGTTACAGGTGACTACCTCAGAGCAAAGTTCAGACCTGCTTAACTGCACAGGGTAGAAGTACATTAAGTCATTCTCCAAGTCAATAGTCACCTTCATCTTGAAAACAGACCTTTATTTTGATTCAAGTATGTTCTGTTTTATGGTCAGCAGTCTGATGCTAATTAAGTCTTTACTATCCATTACTTTTGTTCTCATAAATGCACTCTGCACTTAAGCCATTCTTATCTTATGTTTTATAAGCAAAACGCTGATTAGATGGCATGTCTCTGACGACATTTCATCTTTTAATCAAAAAGATTTGGGTTAGGGTCACCCCATCTCTGCCCTTTTGGTCCCCTGCACTCTGCCACCCCAGCTGACCTTCACTCTCTTCTTGCTCCTGCTGCTAACCAAGCACGCCTGGCCTGGCTGTATGAGACTTTCTTCCTGAGGTCACATGCAGCGGTTTCCTCACAAGACCTGGAGAAGAAGGCCTTGCACGACCAGCAGCTGCCTCATGAAGGGCTAGGCCGGGCATGCTTGGTCAGCAGTGGGAGCAAGAAGATGGTGGACATCAGCTGAGGTAGCGCAGTGCAGGTGAGCAGGGGCCGTGGAGTGCAGAGCGGTGGGGGCGCCTGGGCTGAGCTGGTGCAGCTGCAGTAGCTTCCCAGGGTGGCTGCGACTTTGCACTACGCTGTGGCTTGGGGTCTTCTTGCAGCCCCAGAGCCACACGACTTTGGGACAGGTCCTCAGCTAACGACTGGCGGGATTTGGTTAATGACAACAATGGGGAGTGCCAAGATTGCCATCACTAAAAGATGTGGTCATGTGACATCAAGCTTTACAACACATTGCTTAGCGATGGAAATTCCAGGCCCAACTGCCGTCATAACTCGAGGACTACCTGTACACCAAATTGAATAAATCACATGCAGGTTTTTATGTAGTTTAACTGTACTATAATAGTTTCTACCTGAGTAGAAACTTGTATCACATGCTCAAGAAAAACACAAAATGGGTACAGAATAGTAATTTCATATGTGAGAGAAGATATCAACACCATATGATCTATGCTATCTTATTAATAATTTTTTGTAATAAATGCCCAACTAGATTTTGGCTCACAGAGCTAAGCAAAGTTAGGCTTGCTTAATACTTGGATAAGGAACCACCAGGAAATAGCGGGGCTATAGGCTACACTGAGAAGTCTAAAAAACATCCCAGCAGAGTCAATGAGAAACCACTTCCAGACTGTTTCCAATAAAGCTACAGAGACCTCACTTCTATGAAATCACCCGCACTTGAAGGAGACTTTACTTCAAGGAGACTTTACTTGACTTGAAGGAGACTCTATGTTACTCATCAGTAATTGAGTTAAATGGGGCCTGATGCCAAGGTAAACATGTACAGGATTTTAGTCTTAGCCTGAAATCCTATGCTAGCCTCCTTGGGTTAAACAAACTCAATGTACTTATAAACCTGAGCAAATATGCTCCCAGCTATGCTATTAATCTTGTTAAGACACTTTTCATTAGAGGACATACAATTGGTCTCCTTCAATAGCCATTAAAACTGGCATTAAAACTAACACAAGGAAATAAAAATTGTTAATAGCTAAATTAATTTTTTTCCCAAACAGATTAACTTTCTCTATACAGAAATCCCTTTGAACTTCCCAATACTTTTTTTTTTAATTGAAAGTTCAGAAATTCATTGTTTAATCATTTTTCCAGTCATTCCTAATAGAAGGCTTTCAGCTTCAGCACCCAAATAACCTATAGGCTATTTTTTAAAGACTTAGAACCAGACTTAGTTGTACTTGATAGTGTCCTACTGGAATCAATAGGCCTGAAATTTTCATGACGTTAGTTCCATCGATTTTGATAGATCTGTTCTGCGGTATGGGTAAATCTGAATCTTATCTGATGATGATTTTCTAAGTTAAATGAAGAACTCTATATTGCAGTGAAATTAAAATAATGAGTGTTTTGTGTATATGACTTGAAGGTGCTTGGTCACTCTCCGCACATATACACACACAAGCACATGGAGACTCAGAACAAAGAAGAATATATCAGGAAACTCTTTAAGAACATATCACCTAATTTGATAACTGAACCATTAACTCCCAACTGAACTTTTAACTCTCAATGTTAACTGAGCCACTAACTCCCAATAATGCAATGCACTCTGAAAATAGATTCCTAAAGAAAACAAAACAACAGTACTTCCTAAAATAAAGGGTTTTTTAAAAAAACCTTTCACTTGTAATCCATGCAGATTACATTTTTCTAACAATCAAGCAGGGCAATTCTAAGGCACCAGTATTCTGGCAGTCACTATGGCTGTTACCCAGGCTTGATGTACTTAATGTATGAAGTTTTATTTCGAGAGCACACAAGACCCATCTTATACGAGCTGTTCTGAATGCCAGTTTGTTACTGGCCCCATTCAAAACACAAGCCATTCTTCTCAGAGGCCATCTTCTTCCAGATGATTCTACCAACTGAACATGACTCCCCAGCATCAGAAGCACAGTTGGTGGGCACAAGGGAACAAGACTTCTCTCTGGCACCAGCCAAAACTCAATGTCCATGTAATCCCTGAAGGAGGGTGGGGTATGATCTATTTCTGGGTAGTGAGTGGACTGGATCTTATGATTACAATTCAGTTTTGTTTCTCCTTTCCCTGAAGCATTGTCAGGGTTTTATTACTGTCTCTTTGATTGCAAGTTTGATTATTATGATTTTGTTTTTAATTCTAATGTGTAAAGCACCTAGAGTTGCTTCTGTGATTGAGCCAGCATATTGCTCAAGGGTATCTGCAGAAGGATGTAAAAAAAGTCAATATGATAGCTACAACCACATGATCAAAGCCCACCCCTTTTTTACATGTGTCATACGCATGATACACATAAAATAGGACCAGGTACCAACTGCACACAGCTACCACCTTGACTTTTCTGAGACCCCACCCCTGCATATGTCCCTGAAATTGATTAAATAAATAAAAATTGCTTGCCCATCACATACAAGACATTCATTTTATCTGTTTCGTTCTCCATGCTCCCTCTGGAAATTCATCCCTTAGTGTTGGTGGGTTTTTTTTTTTAACTTTCAATTTGTTTTTTTCTCTGTAATCCCATAACAAATGTTTTTTTTATTATTATTATTTCCGTTCTTCCATAACTATAGTTCATGAACTCTGTACTGGAAATCAGCTTCCCAATCCTTGGTAACATCTTACCAGATTCAGAATCATGCCATTTATCCTACACGGCTTCTAGTTTATCTGAAATAAACACCCCAGCGAAAATGCACAGAAAGCTGGCCAGATGGTGTATGGGGCAGCTTCCAGAATGTAATAAACACAGAGGCAACAATCAACTAGCCACCACTTGCCAGGTCATTAAGAAATGGCTGCACTCCAATTAAGCCTAGTAAGTAACACTTACGAGTGACTGCTTGCACACCTATGCTTCTTACAACAAAGATACAAATTCTGCTCAGTCACAATTCAAGACTAAGGTATCTATTGTGATAAAAGAACAAAACAAATGCATTTTAACACGGGTATCAACATTTTAACTTGACCTTACCTTCTTAATCACAAAAATTGTCTCAGCCCATCTAAGACAAGTCTTGCCAGCTTTGTCTCAGTCCAACAATTTTCCAGCCTCCTCTGCTGCTGCAACATCTTGCTAGCACAAAAGTGAAAAATGTGTCCCCCCTATAAGTTGTTGAATTGTAACTCCCATCTGCCTGACTCAGCAGGGCCAATGATGAGGTATGAAGGGATCTGGAATACCTCAACACCTGGAAGTCCTCATATTGCCCACATGCATGTTAATACAACCCTGTGCCAATTCTACTACAGCAGGCCTAGTCTGACCCCTGACTGGGCCATATACGCTACTGTGTGAGTATTTCTGTCCAAAATTATAAAGCAAACCATGATTAGTCTCTCTTGTTCTGTGGGAAAGATGTTGCACAGTTACACTCATTCTGGCCTTTTTCCAGCAGAGCACACAGATCAGTAGACAACATAGCCTGTTGCAGCAACAACGGGTCATGTGGCACCCCAAATATTTATTATGGCTTTATCATGCAAGCTTGGCATATATTGCAATACAGTCCAATAGTCTGAAGCCTCAATCTTAAACAAACTTAGTAAGGAATAAATCTTATTAAATGCACTGAAATCTACTTTGTGAAAACAGGTTTCAGGCTGTTGCACTGCAAATAAGGACAATTTCAGGTTTTCTAGGATGTCTTTCATTACTAGCTAAAGCTTCTTAATTTAGCTAGGTTTTTCAGCCATGAACGGCCCTTAAATGCCTGTACTATTCTGTTATTAACTGTCCTTAAAATATAACATTAGCTGCATTTGATGAAGTGGGCCTTAACTGAACTTGCTGTATGGAAGAACTGTTGAAAGATGCCTAAGTATTTTTAACATTCTAATTTATCTGCCCCCTTTGATATACTACTCTAATCCAACGAACTTTTTTTTAAAAGATGTCCATTCTTTTTTTCAGGTAAGAAGAGGCATAAGTGGATAAGTAAACTAATCCTTCTTAATTCAAAACAGGCACACACACCCCCCCCCAAATCATATAAAGCTTCGAATACAATCACTTGCCCTTTCCTATTTCCTGACTTTCGTTTCCCGAAAAGATTCGATTTGTGCACTCAGGACTAGATAGATGCTTCTCTTCCCTGTATCTTCTTTTTCTCACAGAAGTAATGAACAATTAGCGGGGAATGCAAACGCGACAAGCTAAAACCACGTGCACGTGTTCTACCCTAAACTCCCGCTGGCCCTTACCACTTGCACCCAGTATACAGCAAGTGACCACCTTTCCCACGCTCCCTCCCTCGCTCATTAAGCAGATAAACAAGCAGGACAAAACACGTCACTGTCTTGCAGCTACCAGGTGGCCCGCAGATATTCTCCTCCAGCCTAAGCCGCCCCCCTTCCCCGACAGGCCCGCGCGGTGCTCTGCGTCTGCCTTACCTCGCTCTCTTAATTCACTGTCTCGGGTTCAGCCTGCCTCTGCTTTCTGAACGGGGCACGACTCCCGCGCTTACAGCGCGATAGAGAGCCCGCGCGGCAGACTCCTGGCGCACAGACCTATCGCCCATAGGCATTCTCCGTTCGTCGCACGTGGAAGGAGGGAGGGACGCACAGCTTCTGGGAAGTGTAGTTCTTACAGCAGGCCCGGGCAAGGGCGCGATTAAACTACCATCCCCACAATGCAAGCAAGGCGGAAAAGGCTCAGTAGAAATATGATCATGTGCAAACGCAGCCCACTCCCAGCACTTTAAATGAGCTGTGTTCGGGTGGCCTTGTCAAGAGTTCTTCTCCGAAAAGGAAACCTGTGGAAAACTTGCGGCGGTGGCTACTTTCATTGTCAAGGCAGCAGCGAAATCGGTGTTTTTTTATTATGCCAGCTAATGTTCAAATAATGTCTGATCTTTAAGCACCAAAAGTGATGCATCCTATTTGGAAGAAACTGATGATCGTGCTTCCGAATATTATCACTCTGCTCTTATTCCCTGGTTGTAATCCAGAATCATTTACTTGATAATAACTCCGTGATTATATTAGCATAATACTGTAAGTCGTAAACCATTGGCAGACCCACGTTGGCTTTGTTTATATAATGTGCTAAATCAAAACAAAGAATACTTTTTATTGTTATAGTCGCGATCCATCTTCCTAAGATTTAAGTGAAATTTAAAAAGCAAAGGTACTTGGGTTAAGATTACGCATTTGTTTACATTTAATAAGTTTTCGTTTCTTTTTTTCCCCTTAAGATAACATGTAGCAGCAATGATGAAGCACAGAAATGGGGGGGGGGGGGACATGGAAAGAAGGAGAAATTATATACTTTAAAATAAAACTTTTAGTCAATTAAAGTAACACTCATGGCCACAATCCATCCAACCCTGACCGTTGTCTAGGGTCTAAAGTTATCTGAGCACACTTCTGATGCCCAGGGAGAAGATCATCCCATGTCCTGACTCTTTCCCATCAAACAGGGTGCCTTGGACAGTGAGGTGTTGAAGGAGTTTTATATCCAAGGGTTGCCAGAGAACAGCCCGTCTGTACATGGTGAGCTACTTCTCTGCCCTTGTAGCCGCTGGACCTCTCCACTAGAGTTCACCAGTGTCCCATCTTTAATCCTTGAGCTGATGGAACAGAATAGACAGAGTTCATACATAGTTACTCCAACCTGAGACAAGCTTATTGCGGACAGCTGCACCTAACTCTAAAATTTACATTGCAAAGGAATAAAGACACTGTCGAATTGAACTCGACTCCTTGTGACTGCTTCCCCATGCAGTTGTCTTGGTGGTATTACAGAAGTGGTTTATGGCTGCTTTCTTTGCAGAGACTTTTTCAACCCCCCAGTCCAGCCCACAGCCCTAGAACTGCCAGGAGTCACCCGTCCAAATACTTCTCTCTAGACTTCCAAAAAGAGAGAGCGGAGCAAAGCAGAACTTGGTTATGCAGTCAGGAGAAGGAGGCAGAACATTTTTGTGCAATGCTCTAACAATATTCTGAGATGCATCTTTAGCTTTAGATGCTGAAGCCTTGTTTTTCCTCATTGCAAAAATTAAGAAGGATGTTGAAGTGGGGTTTTCCAGCTTATTTTCCAGTTTCCCAGCATTGGTCAGTTTCAGTCATTTCTCCCTGCTCCCCATGAGGTAAGAGTCCCAGCTGCTAATTAGTTTTAGTTATCCTGTACTGCAGGTTTCCACTAGCCTCCCTCCTCTCTAGGGCAATTTCTCGCAGAATGTTTTCCCATCATTTTTTAATATTTATTTATTTATTTATTTGTGCTTTTGAGTCAGCTTTTGACTCCTGGCGAGTGCCTGGACTAGCCCCTGCAGTTTTCTTGGCAAGACTTTTCAGAAGTGGTTTGCCCTTGGCTGCTTCCTAGGGCTGAGAGAGAGGGACTGGCCCAAGTTCACCCAGCTGGCTTCATGCCTAAGGTGGAACTAGAACTCCCAGTCTCCCAGTTGCTAGCCTGGTGCCTTAACCACTACACCAAACTGGCTCTTATAATTGTCTTTACTCCGTATTATTTTAACTTAGGAGATGCTGTGGAAGAAGGGCAGATAAACCATCTTAGAGTCATTGTGGGAAGTCCCTGTAATAATGCAGGCATTTGCATATACTCTTCCTGAGACATGCAGAGTGGCTCCTCTGGCTCCCTCAGGTGGGGTCCCTAAGCTGTTCCCCCACAACTCTGTTGCAGCACCTTTCCTGTAGAACACCATCCGTCTGGAGATCCAGATGGCTCCAACCCTACTAGCTTCGGCCAAGGCACTAAGGAACCTGGCTGATCCCCCAGATGTTCAGGCCTGGAGGTTACATGAGCTCTGTTGGCTGATTGGCTTTTACTGTTGTTGTAGTTGTTGTAAATTGTGAACAATTTCCAACTTTGGACAATTGTTATCTGAATTGTTGTTTATTCTTACTGTTTGGTTTTAACTCTTGAACGCTGCCCAGAGTCATTGCTGCAAGATGGACAGCTACATAAATCATTTAAATAAATAAATTTAAATAAGTAATCCCTGGCTGCTGCAACTTTCTAAATTTGGGGAGGGGGGAGGGGAGCGGGAGGTCACCCCCGCTTTCATTCAGAGACCAATTTTCCACCAATGCTTTACTTTGGAGGAAGAAAGAAGAAGCTCCTTTTTCCTTCCCTGTAGCTAACAGAGAGGCCAGGATGTATAGTAGGCAAAATTGCTGGTTAGAATGAGACTACGGATTTCAGAAAAAGTGGCAAGTTGTTTATTATGTAGATTAAGGTTAGGGAGCTAATTAAGGATGGAAGACATAGGAAAAAGGCAAACATCCTGGATGTTGCAAGGCAGCAGCTTCTCCTTTTCCTTTCACAACTGATCTTCCAGGCTGGAATTCACAGACAGACATGAAGACAATATGGGTAGAACAAAATAGGACTAAATTGCAAAGAAACACCTCTGATCAATCCCTAATACATACAGTACTTTTTTTTTTTTTTTGCTTTCGAATCAGCCTTCACCACCACACCAAACTAGCTCTCCTAAACAATTGTAAAAAACCCTAAGTCTCATCTAGCTCCACACTCCCCTTGATGGCTAATTTCTTGTTGGATTCTGGGCGTGTTTTCTCTCCCTTCCCGACAGTTCCAAAGTCAGACTTTCCCCCTTTGGGCTACGCGGCTCCGGCTGATGGATCTGTTCCCCACTGGCTGGTACTGTGCTGAAGGGGGACACTTTAAAGCTAGAGGAGAAAGCCGGTTGCTTGTAATCAGGAGAACCCCGTTCAGCAATGTCTCTGAACCACCCGAGAGAGGCAGGACAGGGTTTGGCAAGGGGGGCAACATATTTTATGTTTTGCACCAATTCAGTTGCATATTAACTCCTCCGTCAGAAAAATCCTCAGACAGTGTGTGCTGTCCTTCCTCTGTTTCTCTGAAAGGACTTTTCTAGGAAAGTGAATCATGGAAAACATGCTTGTATTGTGCAATATGTAAGGTTTGCCCCGTTCGACAGAGAAACTCTCGTGACACGTGTGGTTCACAAAGAAGGTTTACTCATGCGTAACGTAGTAG